TTTTTCCTTTTTTTAATATATTGCTCAGTTTCTCCAGGACTCTGTTTGGTTTTTCTCTTTCCAACATGCTGCTCAGTTTCTCTGTGCTTTTTCTCTCTTTCGGGATAGTCTCTGCTCCCACGTGCGCCAGCGGTTTGCAGCTCGAGGCTCGGGAACAATTTAAATGCGGAACCTAGAAGCCGTACCTGCTGAGGGGGTCAGGACGGGGTTGTGTGGCGGACGAGGGAAGCACCAGATTAGGAAGGCGCCGAGCGGCGGTGGCGTGGACCCTTTCATCCTGCGGATCGGTTAACTCCACCTCGTTCTTTGGTGTTTCTGTATTTTTCTCACGCCTACCACTCAGGATGAACCCGGAGCCGAGGCAGCGGCAGGAGGTGAGTCAGCAGCGGGCAAAAGTTCCGTTTTAACCTCACGGCTTTGCTGGGACCGTTCCCGATGATGTCGGGGCGGGGTGGCTGTCAATCACCCACGCCCCCCCCCTTCCCCATCCTGGACGTGCAGCAGGATTTCACCAAATCGTTGCTAATTCTTCCCCACAGCCCGGCTCTTTTCAACGCACATGAAGAAAACTTGGAATAAAAACAGTATGAACTGCGGATGCTGTAGTTGCTGGAAGCTGAAGTTGCTGGAGAAGCTCAGCAGGTCTGGTAGCATCTGTGAAAGAGAAACCAACAGAGTTAACGTTTTTACATAAAACCAGGACTGAATCTGATGCCCCCTTTTTACATCGAAATAGGAATTGCTGGATTAACTCAGCAGGTCTGATTTCTGAAGAAGGATCACCGGAGCTTTAACTCTGTCTCCACAGATGATGCCCGACCTGCTGTGTTTTCCCGGCAGTTTCTGTTTTTTTTTGTGTTTCAATTACCCGCATCCGCAGTTCTTTATTTTGTTACATCACCGTTTTTGGCAATTTCAGGAAGTGTGTCTGGTGTTAAACTGGTGTTTTGGCCTGATTTTTTCTTTCAAATAAAATCATATTCCTCAGGTTTTAAACATGATTTATCACTTGTTTAGGTGTGTAGATGAACCTTGTGAAACCGAAAACATCCAAAATTTCCCGAGTATCAAATTGGGCTGGTCCAGTTGGTCACTCCTCTGGAGGCTTATTAATTGTCCCTTTCTGTTTTATTAGCCATAGTGTATCTCTGTGGCTAGAGCTCAAACAAAATTTGATATATTTAAGCAACAGCTTGTACAAATGTGTACACTGAGGAGAGAGCCCAAGAGGCTGGAGAAAGGAATTTCAGAACCTAGAACTAAGCAGCTGGTCTCATGGCTACAAATGGTGGATAAATCGAAATTGAGAATAAACAGCTGGCTGGAATTGCAAAAGCAGAGATTGAGACTTGTGGTGCAATTTGAAATTTGTCACCATTTTAAATTTTAAAAGAAGTAGTAAGTGAGCAGATATTGGTGTGAATTAGGTAATGGTAGTGGACAAGAAGTGGAATTTGGGAGTTGCTGGCTGGCCAGCATTTATTGCTCATCCCTAGTTGCCCTTGATGTGATTTGTGACTGGGGATTGTTTTAGTATCGTGGCTTGACAGAAACTTAATTTGGAGGGTATCAAACATGGAATGAGAACTTAGAACAGTACAGCCCATGAATGGGCCTTGTAGCCCACGATGTTGTGCTGAACATGATGCCAAATTAAATTAATCCCTTTTGCCTGCCCTTGGCCCCTCAACCTCTGCCACTCTAGAGAAAACAACCTTTCTCGCCTCTCCTTATAGCTCATATCCTCTAATCCAGGCAGCATCCTGCTAAACGTCTTCTGCACCTTCTCCAAAGTCTCGACATCTTTCCTGTAATGTGACTAGAATTGAATGCGATACTCTAAATGTGGCCTAACCAAAGTCTTTTAAAGCTGCAACATGGCATCCTGACTCTGTACTCCCTGACCAATAAAGGCAAGCATGCCACATGCCTTCTTTACCACAAAATCTACTTGTGTGGCCACTTTCAGGGAGCTATGGACTTGTATGCTAAGCACAACTCCACCAATCTGTGGTGTCTGCAAACTTATTTACCCACCTATCTATATTTGATCCTATGTGTATCACAAACGGCAGAGGTCCCAGTATGGATCCCTGTGGAACATCACTTTTCCTGGACCTCCAGTCTGAAAAACACTCTTCCTCCACTACTGTCAGCCCTGTATGGGCAAGCCAGTTCTGAATCCAAGTGACCAAGTCACCATGGATCCCATGCATCTTAAGTTTCTGGGTGAGCCTGCCATGAGGACCTTGTCAAAAGCCTTACTCCAATCCATGTAGACAACATTCACTACCCTATGCTGAATTGTTGGAAAGATGTGTACAGATTTGGAAAGAAACATGTTCAAGGAAATTGGAGAGGAGATCTCTAGTTGCTCACAGATTTGCTAAAAGAGCTGCTGAATGCTTAATATGACATCTGTAAAATTAGAATTTATATCTGCCATCAGCTGCATAACGTGTCTGAAATATGTTGTTGACAGATTGTTGTTTCCTAGATCTGATTTCCCCCCCCCCCCCGGTGCTAAAAAGCAGACTCTTTTGGTTAGGCTGATGTTAATCCTTTTTCAAAGAAAAAGAGCAATGGCCACTGAGTCTATCTTCCGCTAGAAGAGGAGGTCTAAGTGAGGCCTTGCTTTATTGCTGGCAATTTCTCACCTACACTCAATTGCTTTTCTCTTGTCATTTGCAATGAAAGAAGTTAGGTAGTCTCTATTATTGTGTGCCCATTTACAATTAAACTGGAAGGTAGCAGTCTCTTACAAAAGTAATAGCGTATTTCTGTTTTGGAGGCAAGACTTGCAATCAAATGAAAATGAGGGAACCACTGAGAAAACATAAATAGTTTGAGCTAGTGATTCACTAAACTGATATGCAACAAATCCATTATGCATGAATTTTGCTCTTCCCTTTTGTGCTTCTAAAAATTTATTTTTCTTTAAATTTCTTCTAGCTATCTTTTGAAATACTGACTTTATTTTGAGTGGCTTCGAATTGATTTGTCTCAATATTGATACTGTAGAGTTGGGAAAAGACACTACATTGTCAAAGTAGAGTCAAAACCAAATTATTACACAAAATATAACCAGGTGCTCAATCTCTTCGTTAAAGTTCAATTCCTGGGGACATTATTTAAAAGGTGCATCTAACATAGCTTATGATTGAATAACAGAAAATGTTAGAAATGTTCAACAGGTATCTTGGCAATAGTGGATTGAACAGAGAAGTTTTGTCATAACTATAGCATTTTTTTGATAAAGAAAGTGTGAAGGTAAACACAAAACATAGAAGGACATGTGAAATTTTAAATTGGGGATGATCAAGATATTGCTAAAATAGTGGTATCAACAGATGGTGGAAAGATTCATGATGGCTGAAGAGTTAATGTGATGCAAGGTTTTTCTTTCATGTGTGGGATATGGGATGCGCTGACTGGCCAGCATTTATTGCCAATCCCAAGTTGCACTTGAAAAGGTGGTGGTGAACTGCTGTAGTCCACCTGCTGTAGGTTGACCCATGAGGGAGGGAATTCCACAATTTTGACCCAGTGACAGTAAAAGAACAGTGATATTTCAAAGTCAGGATGGTGAGTAGTGTGGAGGGCAACTTGTAGTTGACAGTGTTCCCATGTATCTGCTGCTTTTGTCTTTCTAGGTTGAAGTGGTCGTGGGTTTGAACAATGCTATCACAGGATTTTTGGTGAATTTCTGCAGTGCATCTTGTAGATAGTACACAGTTGTTACTGAGTCAGTGGTGGACGGAGTGGATGCTCGTGAATGTGGTGCCAGTCAAGTCGTGAATGGTGTCAAGATTCTTGACCTCTTGGAGCTGCCCCTACCCAAGCAAGTGAAGCGTATTCCATCACACTCCTGACTTGTGCTTTGTAGTTGTTGGATGGGCTTTGGGAGCCCGGAGATGAGTTACTCACCACAGCATTCCTAGCGTCTGACCTGCATTGTTGGCCACTGTATTCCACTGAGTTTTTGTTTGAATTGTCACCCCAGGATGTGATAGTGAGGCATTCAGCAGTGGTAACACCATTGAGTTTCAAGGGGTGGTGTTTAGATTGCCTCATTGGTGAGGGTTATTGTCTGGCTTTTGTCACCTGTCGGTCCAAGCCTGAATACTGTTGAATCTTGTTGCATTTGAACCTGGATTGCTTCAGTATCTGAGGAGTCATGAATATGCAAGCTTCTGCACCAATCATTGGTGATCGTTCCCAGTTCAGACCTCATGGAGGGAAGGTCATTGAAGCAGCTGAAAATGGTTTGGCATAGGACACTACCCTGAGAAACTCCTGCAGAGATGTCCTGAGCTAACATTATTGACTTTAACCAACTGCAGCCAAGTTTGGCTCCAACCAGTAGACAGTTTGCATTCTCTTTCTCTCTTTTTCCCCCTCCCACCCAAACTGGTTCCAAAATGTAAACTGTGCAAGATGACAAATGGAACAAATCCTGTAATCTGAGTGGAACAAAAACCACAGGTTTGGGACACACTAGCAGCGTTGTTTTCCAACACAGGATGAGTTTGAATTAAAAGCATAAAATGTTGGAGATACTGGTCAGGCAACTTCTGCAGAGAGATAGTGTTAATGTCTAAAGTTAAACCTTTCATCTGGACTAGGAAAAATTAGAAACGTAACAGGCTTTTGAACAATTGAAAGATGGGTAGGGAGACTGGAGGTGGAAAAGAACAAACTGTCAAAGGCTGGAGAGATTAAGTAACAAAAGGGTTGTTGGTGCAAGCATAAAAGGAATGGAACAAGAAACTAATGATGTGCCTAGAGAAGGTGTGAATGGCAGAACAGCTGCCAGAAAAGTAAAACTTCCAAAGAATATGGAAATCATTGGGAACAGAGGCTTATAGTCCAAAATTGTTCACCTCCTGTTGAGCCTGGAAAACTTTAAAAGTGCCTAATCAAAAAGATACTATCCTTTGAGCTTCCTTGGATCATAGCAGAAAGGCAAGGACCTATTTAATTGCATTGACAGTATACTTTGCACTTTGACCCTGCACCACCTCTTGTCACTTTTTTAATTGAAATCTTTTACAATTAGTTTGCATCGTGGTATCCTCTTTTGTCTCTCATGCTCTTCCACAGTTCTGTCAGTCTATCATAAGACCATAAGATGCAGGAGTGGAATTAGGCCATTCAGCCCATCCAGCCTACTCCACCTTTGCTTGTTGCTGTTGTTTCTCAACCCAATTCTCCTGCCTTCTCTCCGTAACCTTTGATTCCCTTACTAACAAGAACCTAGCTGTCTCTGTCTTAAATATGTTCGATGACTTGGCTTCCACAGCCTTCTCAGGAAATCAGTTCTGCAGATATGCCACTCTCTAGCTGAAAAAAATTCCTCCTTGTCTTAGTTCTG